GTCCATCTATTTACATGTGCCCCCCCACCCGTCGCCGTCGCATCGATGCGTCTGAGCATGTTCTGGCCAACTATTTGCCCAGCCCCGGGCGCCGTCACACCTTCGGCTTGGCTTGCCTGGTGACGTTTATTTATTTATTAATTTATTCGTTTATATACATGTGCCCGGCCCTGTCTGCGTCCAATTGTCGAGTGATCTCATTTCAGTATTTGTTTCTGTCCATCTACCTGCACTTCCCCTGGCGCTGTCGCGCCAGCCTGCCTGCGCGCGTACGCGGCCATCTGTCATATGGTTTCAAGTACGTATCAGTGCGTGCTTCAGTGTCGACGGCTCCGGTTTTTCTTTCAAAATGACCTGATCCGAAGCTCCCGCGCGGCTTCTGGACGCTCTCTGATCGTCTCTGCGCGCGCGGGTGAATGGCCCTGGTTATCCCTGGCAGCCGTCACAAGGAGCACTTCGCAGTGATTCGTTACATGTTAGGTAGGTAGCTAGGCAGATACAGGTAGGTAGGTAGTCCATTAGTAGTGTTGGCAATGGCGGTCGTAGTAGGTAACGCCAGACCCATTCGGCCCCGTAGTAGCGGTGCTGTTTGTTCTGTTTGTTCGATTTGTTCTTTCTGTCAAAAAGCAAGTTGCAGTTTTCAATTTGGCCCACGTTGGATTTGAAACAATGAGTTGTCGAATTGGTTTTCGTGAGATTTTCGGGCTGATGTGGGCGTCTCTTGAAGTACATACTTCAAGCGAACGCCGGTGCCGTTCGGCCGCTCCGCGTTCGATTGCGAAGTGCGGCTCCGAGTGTTCATGTTCCTTGAGCAGCGTCATGTCTCGCATTGCGCAGTGTTGCTTTGCACTGGGCTGCCACGTGCTTATGTTTGTGATCTCGCTGCGTTGTCTTGAGTTTCTTGCATCGCTTTGCGCTGCTTTGAAGTGTTTTGCGTTGGTTGTGATGCCATCTTGGGCGTCTTGGACCGATCTTTCGGCGACTCGGGGCTCTCTTGGGCCGTTTTGGCGACCTCTTGCGGCCATCTTGGCCCGTCTTGGGTCCGAACAATCCACGCGCCACCACTTCCTGGAGGCAGGGGGCACGCGGGAAGCCCCAGGTGGTATTCGCCAAACCCCTGGAGATTTGGGAGCGAGGGGTTCGGGCCCTCCTCCTCCTCCTCCTCCTCCTCCTCCTCCTCCTCCTCCTCCTCCTCCTCCTCCCCCTCCTCCTCCCCCTCCTCCTCCTCCTCCCCCTCCTCCACCTCCTCCTCCTCCTCGGGTCGCCTACGGCCCCGGGGGAAACCGTGCACCAGGCAAGCCCCTGGAGATTTGAGAGCGAGGGGTTCGGGCCCCCTGAAGACTCCTCAGGAGCGAGGATTGAGGCTTCGAGAATTAGATAAAGGACCTGAGGACGCCCACTCCGTGCTCAGAAGCACGGTGGCGGATGGAGACGGCCCAGGACGTCCCAGAGACAGCGCCATGAGTGCTCCAATGCTGTCCAAGCCGGCCCCCCGAGGGCTCTGGAAGCCCCCCGGAGCAGTCAAGATTCAAGCAGTGGCCAAGCGTCCTGGCGTGCCTATAGGCCTACCAAAGAAGGTTCCAAGAACCTTTTGTGGTTTCCACGCAATGGTCTTAGAACATTTCTGGCTGGGATTGTCTTGTTGGGTTCTAACAACATTTCGTGGTAGAACTATAGGAATGCCGGGACGGTCAGTCCCTGCTCAAACGATCGCCCCCACAGGCTTCTAAGAGTCCCCAAATCAAATCATTCAAAAAATCAATCAATCAATCATCCCCCACTCCGGGGAAGCCCTCGAGATTTAAAAATCATTCACAAACCAATGGAATATCAATGGTTTTCTGTTCTCTCGCGCTTCAGCCGTGAACACGTTTCCGAGGCTTGCGCAAGCCCTCCAACAGAGCTCCAAGAGGCCCCCAGGAGGCGTCCCGAGTGGCCTGAAGTGGTCCCAAGGGTCCAAAAGAGGCCCCCCATTACGCCCGACGAGGCACCACCGAGGCCCCAAAGACGCTCCGAGCAGGCCCCAGCGAGCTCCCGGAAGCTGCCCTGGAGGCATCCAGCGCCGAAGAGGGCCCCGAGAGACCCTTAAGAGCTCCCAAGAGGCCCCGAGCAGAGCTCCAAGATGCCCCCCAAAGCCGCTTGAAAAGCATCTTGGGGGCATATTGGAGCTCTGTTGGGTTACATGCGCAAGCCTCGAAAACGTGTCGATGGCGGAAGTGCGAGAACATAATAATTGTAATGTTCCTCAGTTGCTGCATTGATGTTGGCCTCTCGAGAGCTTCCCCGAAGCTCTTGGGGGACTATTGGAGGCCTCTTGGGGCGATCTTGGGTGCCCTCAGGGGCCTCCATAGGCAACTTGAAAAAAACAAATACCACTCAGATCATCTGTTCAAGTTCGCCCATCCTACTCGCTCTTGGTTCTTCTTTCTCCGCCGTCTCCCGTTCTACACATTTCTCTTTCCTCTCCTCCTCTTTCCTCCGCGCTGCTTTCCCTCCTCCCTTCTCCGCGTCTCTCCTTCACGCCTTCTCTGTGCCTCCCTCATGCGTTTCCGTCTCCCCCCTCCCTCATCCTCATCTCTTTTTCACTCCTTTCTCCCTCTTCCGCCCTCACCCAACATCCTGCGCCACTGAGTGGTAGGAGGCCCAGCTTGAAAAAAGCAGGGGAATCCCTCAGATCCTTTTTGGTTTTCACGGCCGACCCCATTCGACATTTCGAGCCCAGACGCCAAGAGCCTCGGAGAGGCCCCCGAAGCACCTAAGAAGGTCCCAAGAGGCCGCCAGGAGGCCTCCACCAAAAACCGAGGAGACCGCATCTCCAGAAACCCTCAAGAGTCCTCCAAGAATGTCCCCCAAGGGCATCCAAAGTCTCTCAGCATGGTTTTCACAGGCTGTGAGGAGCTCTCGGGCGTGTCCCCATAGGCTGCACTGGGTCCTCCACGTAGCTGCCTCGCGCACCCTCCTGGAGCCTTCCTGGGCGCTTTCCAGAAAACAGCTGGGGGGATCGCCCTGCACGCATGCCTACGGCGCGAAGTCGTGCTGGGCGTCGCCTCTATTAGAAGAGTGAGCCGTGTCCCCTGTCTTCGGAGGTGGACATAACCCCCAACAGTGACACGTCAATTAGTGAATTGTCCGTTTTCGGTTCTCGAGAGGGCGCCGTGGCCGTTATTTTCCAGGCTTGCGCCCGCCAGGTTTGGGCTTCAGGTCGCTTTAACTACAGTGTAAACCACGTTTTACTAAAGGGGGGTCTGTCCAACCCCGATGTCTGGTACTTCCTGTCGTGCAACATCTGAACACGTCCCAGCACGGCATAGTACGACCCAAGGACTTAAGGGATCCCCAAGGCCGCGCCCGATACGGCTTCGACTGACCTCGGCAGCCCCTGGATGGTTTGAGCTGCCCCACATCATTGGCCCCCAGGGCTTCCAAGGGATCTCCCAAACACCTCCGAGATAATCCGCAGGGCCCTCCAGACGCCTGGCAGATGTTCGAGACCGCGAAAGACGGTCCACAGACCACGAACCTCCCGAAGCCTCCCAGAGGTTATTTCCGGGCAGCTGCCTAGTGTATCTGCTCAGAGCGGCAGGATGTTTTAAGGCCTGCTCATTCAATGACTCCATGAAGCGTCCATCAGGGAGTACTCTCCCAGATGGTGATCTTTGCGGGATGAAGTTGCTTTGGATTGCGTTAGGACCTAAGCGCGCGCGTGGTTCTAGTGTATACGTTTGTTTATCGTACATCAACGCGCTGTTATATATCACAGGTATCACATATTTTTTTTATTTCTCTACATATATATATATATATATCAGATACATCTACTTGTCTTGGGTCCATCCCGCCACCGCGCCTGGGTTCTGGGCTTAACGCGTCTTGAATGCGTACTAGGGTATGTTGGGATGCCTCTTGGGGGCCCTTCGGAGGCGTCTCGGGGGCCTCTTGGGGGCCGCTTCGAGGCCTCTTAGGGCCTCCTGGGGGCTTCTTGGGGGTGCCTTGGGGGCGGCTCGTGGGCTTTGGAAGGCTCTTGGGGCTATCCTGTGCCGTCTGGAGGCCATCTGGAGCGGTTTGGAACGATCTTTAGGAAATTCGGAGCCTTCTTTGACCGTCTTGGAGGCCTCCTGGGTCCCTCTTGGCCCGTCTTGGAGCCCAATTGGCTCCGAAAACATATACGACAAGATGCGGGTAAGCCCAGGAGGCACGCGGCAAGCCCCAGTAAGTATATTTTTGACCTAGTGGCTTGAGCCCCTGAAAGAAACCTCGGGGTTAAGGGTTGAAGCTCAGGGGATCAGGCAAATGACCTGGGGACACACCAACTCGTGTCTCAGGGTACGACGGCGAAATATACATGTATGTGTATATAGTTACTCTATATTTTATATCTACATATCATAGTCATCATTACCCTCATCACCATCACCACCACTATCATCATCATCATCATCATCATCATCATCATCATCATCATCATCATCATCATCATCATCATCATTATCATCATCACCATTATCAACATCATCATCGTCGTCGTCATCGTCAGCATCATCGTCATCATCAGCATCATCATCATCATCACCATCACAATCATCATCATCAGCAGCATCATCATTATCATCACCGACACCATCACCACCACCATTATCACTGCCATCATCATCATCATCATCATCATTACCATCACCATCATCATCATCATCATCATCATCATCAGCTTCAGCTTAACATCACCATAATGATCACCGTCATAATGATATACGAAGTGTATGTGAATACACATAATGACCAGCGCAGGCAAGTTCACAATCATGTTCGAACCTGAGGGTGTACTAATAGCGTCGCTCATGCATCTTCGGTTATTCTAGTCCTCCTCCTCCTCCTCCTTCTCGTCCTCTTCTTCCATTATTGTACTCTCGTCTCCTCGTTCCCCTTCTTGTCGATGCTCGGGGGCGGGGGCGGGGGCATCGGCCCCGCCCACGATGGCGCCCCCTCGCGCCGCCCCCCAGCAGGCGAGGGCCTACGCCCGCAACACGAGGCTCGTCCTGGCGCAGGCGGCCGTGCCGTCCCGGCCCTTGCTGCTCCTTGCCCGCTGCGCCACGATCTTCGGGGGTGGCCAGGAGTCATTCAGGCGATCGCAAACATGGATTGAGGGGGCGTGGATGAGCGAAGGGTCCCGTTTCCATGGGAAATCGCGGAGTTCCGCCGCCGAGCGAGGCGGCACCGGCCGCATTGTGGGGAGGTGCCCGCCAAATCCATGGATCGTTGATCTATGTTTGCGCGCCCCGGTGTCATGGCGCCCACATCGCAGAGCGGATTTCGTTCGGAAAACGACAGGATGGGCCCGGGGTGTCCTGGAGAATTTCGCTCCCGATTTCGAGGTCAGTTTCGTGCGGATTTTTTGGGGGCCAGGAATGAAGACTGAAACAAATCCACGCGAAATTCATGCCGTTTTTCACTTTCCGTTTCGGGGTCTTGCGTTGGCAGAAATCCACGCAAAAAAACGTTGCAGCACGTCTGGAAGGTCATTGCAGTGACAAAAGGGGGGTGATGACCAGATGGGGGCGGATCTCATGGCGAGGGCCATGACATCTCCCCAGACATCATGGCCCCCTTGTCTTTTTCTGGTGCGTTCCCTGGTCCCCCCCTCGTCCGCGCACATGCCTCTGGACATGATTTTACGAGCCCCCCTCTCGGACGCCCCCCTGAGGGACACCCCCGAGATCTGCACCTCGATCTCCGCCAGGACGCAAGCGCTTCGAGGCCCGAGGCTCGGACGGGTTTTCGGGCGCTCTTATCGGTGCCCAGAGGCTCTCCTGCCCACGGGGATGCGTTCTGGTAGCTGCGCCTTGCTGTGAGCGTTCCGGGGGGCGCCCGAATCGTTCCGAACGGCCTCAGGAGGCACAGACCTCAGGAGGAGGAGGAGGAGGAGGAGGAGGAGGAGGAGGAGGAG